GCAATCTATGAATGTACTGAAAGATTAAATGAGGTATTAAACACCTTTCACTTTAAAAAGGGGCGGAGACCCGGAGGGAACTCTGAGTTTCCCGAACAAAACCTGCTCCCAAGCAGGTTAGGTTCACAGAGTAAGTTGCCGTAGTAACTGACTCTGAGTTTAGATTACCTCTCTTTGTGAAACGGGTTTAACTTACCCCGCTTTCACGGGTTTAAGTTACCTCCGTTTCTGAAACCGAAAACTCCGAGTTTCCCTCATTTCGGGGTTAACAAACTCTGAGTTTCGACAAAACCGCCTTCTTGAAATAGGCCCCTGGTTTTCTGCCGGAAATGGTCATAACATGTGTTGTGATCTCTAGGTTAAATGTATAAACAAACAGTGTGCTTAAGCTAATAACACACAAGCAATTAAAATCTTTTGTCTTCATTGAACACACCCTTTGAACATTGCCAGTGCTGGTGGAAAAAAAATGTGAACCCTTGGATTTAAAAATGGGTTAAACCTTCATTGTGGATCAGATCTACAAAAGTTCAGGAGGAATTGTGGACTATTCTTCCTCACAGAGCTGTTTCAGCTCAGACATATTCCTAGGATATCTGTGAATGGGTTAGGGTTAGGGTTATTATGCCCTGTCTGGGGGTCGCCGAGGCACAACAGGAAAGATATATCAAGTTCCAAAGGATCCACAAATGACAGGGTCAGGTGTATATGTGAATTTATTCACAACATGTGGTGTGTAAAAGTACATTAGGTGGTTTAACTTTGGGATGGAAATGCCAAAATAACAAACGATCTATCTAAGAAAGAAAAAAACATGATATTACCTAACCAAACAAAAAAACAACAGCAACTTGCCTCCCTAACTAAAAGAAACAGGAGAAAACCGTTACAAATCAAAAAGGCTGCCCATCCCTACACACACCCACGAATACGCACAACTTTAGCGGCACATCAGGAACTGTGATGGCATTAATTAATGTGAATTTCTTCTCCTTAGATAGGTAAACAACGGGATATGTATAGATGAGAAGAGATTTGTAACACTCTAAACAAAGCGGGTAATTGAGAAATCCCATATTTCAACTGGCATAATGCAGACAAAGTAACTTGTCCAGCCTTACAACAATTCTCTCTAACGTTACAGAAACAAGGCATTAACAGACATGTAAGGTTTTTTTTTTTAACTTGCCGTTAAGTCCCCCTGAGTATTGAAAACATCACTCCATTCCAAGTAGCTCCAAGGTTGGTAGATCCAACCGGTGGTCACTGCATCTTTGGCTGCAATCACACCACTGAGTGTGTGTGGATAGGTCTCAATCAGTCTTGCACATCTGGACACTGCAATTTTACTCCATTCTTCTTTGCAAAACTGCTCAAGCTCTGCCAGGTTGCACGGGGATTGGGCGTGAACAGCCCTTTTCAAGTCCAGCGACAAATTCTCTATTGGATTGAGGCCTGGGCTTTGACTCAGCCTCTCCAGAACACTCACCTTGTTGTTTTTAAACCATTTCTGTGTAGCATTTGCTGTATGCCTCGGGTCATTGTCTTGCTTGTTTGGGTGTGACCGCAAAGTTTAGTCCCTTGGCCAAGACCTCTTTTTCTGTGTCCGTTAGTTCTCTGTCAGAGAGGTTCCTGACCCATTTGCGATTGTACACAATGGCAAATGTTGTGGGTTGTGCTCCTCTTTTCACTTCCAGCTGAGGACGTCTGAGGCTGGCTATCCATTCTGTAATCTGGAATTTAATCATTTGGCGAGCCTCGCTTCTGTTGTGTTGGGCAAGTTGTGCCTTTTCCAAAAACCTTGATCTCCTGAAAGATTTCTCTGGTTACCTTTGTGGAGAGTCTCTTCTGTAGTTGTTCTCTTTGGTCCATAAGTGTATTTGTCGTATCCTTTCACTTAGAAGTTGGGCTTGAGTTGTTCTCAGCCCTGTATCCTTTTACAGAAGAGCCCAGCCTCAAGCTTCTGTGGATGACGTTTTGTTAGTGGCATCTTATCCATGGTGGTTTCTGTAGTTAGCCAGTTTCTTGACTGTTTGCTCATACTTGCATACCAGTCGAATCTCTACCCAAACATTTCCACCCCAATTCACACCAGGAAAATAGGCTTCGGTCCACATGGGAAAGTTCAAAGACCGGTAGCAACACTCACTGATACTGGACTATAACATTGTTGGCCACCAAAGGACAGAAAACTCCAACGATTTAGTTGTTAAAGGACATTGGAGGCCATCGAAGGACTGAAATGCTACCCAGTGGGATAAATACAGTGAGGCAAATAAGTATTTGATACACTCCCGATTTTTCAAGTTTTCCCACTTACAAAGAATGGAGAGATCTGTAATTTTCATTGTAGGTACACCTCAACTTGAGAGACAGAATATACAAAAAAATTCCAGAAAAATCAGAGTTAGATTTTTAATAATGTATTTCCATTTTATTGCATGAAATAAGTATTTAATACAATAGAAAAATAGTTAAGTTCTATTTTTTTATTGTATTAGAAAAGACTGTACTGTATTGTACAGACTTTTCCTGTAGTTCTTGACCAGGTTTGCACACACTGCAGCAGGGATTTTGGCCCACTCCTCCATACTGGTCTTCTCCAGATCTTTCAGGTTTTGGGGCTGTTGCTGGCAACACGGAGTTTCAGCTCCCTCCACAGATTTTCTATTGGGTTCAGGTCTGCAGACTGGCTAGGCCACTCCAGGACCTTGAAATGCTTCTTACAAAGCCACTCCTTACTTGCCCTGGCTGTGTGTTTGGGGTCATTGTAATGTGGAAGACCCAGCCACGACCCATCTTCAATGCTCATACTGAGGGAAGGAGGTTGTTGCCCAAAATCTTGCGATACATGGCCCCATCCGTCCTCTCCTCAATACGGTGCAGTAATCCTGTCCCCTTTGCAGAAAAGCACCCCAAAGCATGATGTTTCTACCCCCATGCTTCACGGTTGGGATGGTGTTCTTGGGATTGTACTCATCCTTCTTCTTCCTCCAAACATAGCGAGTTGAGTTTATACCAAAAAGTTCTATTTTGGTCTCATCTGACCACATGACCTTCTCCCATGCCTCCTCTGGATCATCCAGATCTCTTTGGCAAACTTCAGACGCGACTGGACATGTGCTGGCTTGAGCAGAGGGACTTTGCGTGCGCTGCAGGATTTTAAGCCATGACGGTGTAGTGTGTTACTAATGGTGACCATTGAGACTGCGGTCCCAGCTCCCTTCAGGTCATTGACCAGGTCCTCCCGTGTAGTTCTAGGCT